GCCTCTGCCTCCAGACCGGCTCTGGGGCCCACCCAGCCTCCTCTCCAATGGGTAACGGGGTCCTTTCCCGGGGGTAAAGCCGGCCGGGGAGTGATGCTGACCACTCACCCCCATCTAGTGCCGAGGTCAAGGAAGAGAGGAGCTATACCTCCACTCCCCCCAAGCGCCTACATGGCGTATAGTCGGACAGCTTAGCTTTACGTATTAGATTTCGTTTAGTCTGAAGGTAAGTGTGCTGTATTAAAAGACCCAGAAATTTTGTACAATGCCGTTCATTCTGACGGAACTGAAACAAATGTAGGGTGATGAAGACATTCTCCCGTACTTATCCTCTGATGCGACTTAGGCCTGTTTTTAAGATCAGTATTGAAACTTCTAAGTGTGCCTGGTAAATGCGCTTGGTTGTCTATAATCTGGTTAGCTTTATAAAATGAGAAGTAAAACAAGACTAAATGTTACAAAAAATTAATTCTGTATAAAACGATTGAATATAAGTAGAACATAAACTACAAGAAGGAGGACGCGTATTGCTGTAACTGTGTGCTAAATGTTGTTAACATGTTCCCGTAACACCATAACCTTTTTAGCACCAATTCCCTAGTAGCCTCCTACCATACGTAATGCGCGACCAACAATTATACATGAGAACTTTGACACAATCGTACTTACTCGAGCACGCGGGTCGCCTTGGCTGTACCATCTGAAAAATGCCAGAACCAGTTAGTGGTTAGGACTAACTAACTAACCAGTAGCTTCATGGAGCAGAGTCCTTCTTTATAAGCTAGTAGTCGGTCAACTAATCATGAAATTTTCCGTCTTTGACGGAGCCCGAAATTTCATTATCGTGTCCGCAAGAACCCGCAAGTGTGGGGTCTATTGTATAATCTTGTAACGCGCTGATTTCGTACGGTGAGGAGTACCACCTCTTGTCAGCTGTTCTTCATATGTGGAAGTCTTCATCCGGAACGTGAGGTCGCTCCCTGCCGTGGAGACGAGGAATACAATGTAACGTAGTTGTCAGGACTCGTTCTACTTTGCCAACCAACCTGTGTCGACGTTTTCATTATATTGTGATAAAGGATCTACCCACTGGGTTCCCCAAGTAAGACACAACTCTGTTACGGATTGGCTGTCACGTACCTTCTTCGTTGAATACATGTAATAATTATTAAAAGCTTATGCCTTGGTCGTACATGTTATTTGTTGCGGTTCAGAAAGTTTGGCCTTTGTATATTTCAGTATCGCTTCTGCGCTTAGCAAACGTGTAACATGCCACATAACGTGATTCGTGGGTTATCGACATTATTTCTTAATGTTTCTTGCGGTTGCTATGTTATTGTACATTTGTTTTACCAGTTAACTTCATTTAAAGTCGTATAATTTTATGTCCGTAATCGAATTGCAGGACGAAGACAAAGACATTTACTTTGCTAATAGGGAACCTTCAGAATCCTAGAGATAACGACGCGTTCTGAAAACACAATTCAAAGTAAATGAACACATCTCAATCCAGATATGAATTGCTCCGTGCATTGGTTAGGCTACTTAGAAAGTAAATCATATTGTTCTTTTGTATTAATTGTTTTTGTTGCGAATTGGTGAGTGAATATGGAGTAGCAGTTTAGTGACGTTGACAGGGAAAAATCTAGAAGCAAAATTAATCTCCCTTAAGTGATGCCACGGTGGTCTAACGGTTAGAACGCTGGCCTTGTAATCCTGGGGCCTCGGGTTCGATTCCCGGCGGTGACAGAATTTATAATTTGTGTTGGGCAACGCCGTGGTCTAGGCAACACAGAGTTTTCCTCCGGGGGCTTCCGCGGTTTCTCCGTGGCATCCCAACAATTACTCCATTCACACACAGAAGAAGGCAATGGCAAACCACTTCTGGATCATCTGCCAAGAACGTATATGAACAGGTCCCAATCCGAGAAAAGGATGGAAGGATCCTGTTCATATCGACCTGTCGTCAGACAGAAC